CTCCCGGCACCCCCCATCCCCAGCATCCTACAGAGCAAATGCTGTTACCTTTCTGCCAACACACACAGCTTTGCTGTCCTCTTCTTAGCCTTGCAAATCCAACTCCTGTGCTCCACGTTCTAAAGCAAAACTATCTTGGTATAAAGTCAATTTGCTTAGTGTCAGGCAGTAACAATCCTGTCCATCCATCTCCATGCCTTTTTTTTTGGGGGGGGGACATCAAGACCAAGAGAAGCAAAGGGATGACTTTATATTTGCATAGAGCTTTGTGATTTGCAAACCACCCACACATCCATGATCTCATCCAGTCTCATAACAACCCAGTGAGGTAAACCTGCTCCCCTGACACTCAAATAAGGTAGGGCTACCTCCTAGGGCTGTTAGGGCCATGGCACGTAGTAAGCACACAACAAGTGCTAACTACTGGCCATCGACAGCAAATATTACTCATTTTATTGGTGAGAAAGTGAGACTCAGAGGTTGGACAGCCGATTCCAGGCAACGAGGCCTCTAGGAATCTAGAGAGAGCTGGGAAGACAGAAAGCCCAGCGCAGGAGTCTTTCTACCACCGTCCCTAATTGTTTAAGACCTGACAACTACACATTTCCATGGAGGCTTAGCTACGTTGATAAGAAGGAAGCCTGAAGTCCTGATTCTGTTCCCAGCTCTCTGCTGGCCCCGGAGCTTTAGTTCTCTGCACCTTTGTGTCGCCTTCTCCTTAATGAAGGCAGACTCACTTAAAACAAAACAAAAACCCAAACAATGGAATGTCAAGCTTCCAGATGAAAGGCTCTATTACAAGGACAAAGTATCATTTAATTACACTGCTGCTCCAGTTAGTTGCTTCCTAGCTCCTAACTCCCACTGGGTGGATTCTGAAACCGCATAGGAGATTATGTCAAGAGGGGAGAACAGGAGAAACATTCTCTCCCTGAACTTTCTTAAATGGAAGAGAGAAACAAAATGAAAAGAAAGGCCTGTTTTCCAGGGAGGGGGCTGGGGCAATGATCTTTCCGTTTAGCGGACTTGCATAAGAAATCTATAGATTATTTAACGCCGGGGGTGGCTGTGGAATGAAATAAAGGAATCTTTGTGCGATGCCAGCCACAGTTCCCTCGTTCTCCCCGCAGTCAGGAATTTAACCCAGCTCTTTAAATCATCAAGCCCCAATGCGCCCCATCTGTGCACCGATTGTAGCCAATGAAACTAAAGCCTGTGCTGACTTTGGCTGGACTTGTGAAGGAGGCTTTCTACCCCAAAAGGTGTAGGAAGGAGGACATCAAGTCTTTTTTTTCTCATCACTTGTCTTCTCCCCAGGCCCAACAAGAGCCATCCATCTGTTTATTTGATCATTTATTGAGCTCTTGACGTGGGCCAGGTTCTGACCCAAAGATACAAAGCTCATAGGATATGGCCCCAGGAGGAAAAGGATGTGTAAGAGCTCGGAGAGAGGAAGGAGGTAAAGAAAAATGACAGCCCAGTGATTAAAACTCTATGCTTCAGAAATGCAGGGGTTATGGGTTCGATTCCTGGTCGGGGAACTAAGATCGCATAACAGTGTGCAGCATGGCCGAAAAAAGAAAAATGGACGCTCCTAGCTGAGGCACAGAGGCCTGAGATACCCCTATCTGCAAATCCAGGGAAATGCTGCTGGATATACCAAGAGGTTAGAACATTAAGCAATGAACCCTAACTCTAAAGCTAGGCTCTGCCAGATCATCTAAGGCCATGAAAAGAGTTAGTGAGACTGCAGGTACATCAGCGAGTAAGGCTTTGAAGGTTGAATTTTATTCTAACTTCAGGATTTTAAGCAGAGGACCTGCAACATCTTTACAGTTTGAAAAGATCCTTGTGGCTCTTCTTGGAAATGTGCTGTAAGATGCATGAGTGAAAGTAAGGAGGCCAGTTAAAAAGAGCTTATTGCTGGAGTCCAGACAAGGGAAGATGGTGAAAACTGGCCAGATCTGAAATATCTTTTTTGAGGGCAGAGCTAACAGGACTTACCTGTGGATTGGATATGGGGACTGGGTGCAGGGGAAGGGGGAAAGGGGGCAGCAGTAAGAAAGGAATCAACGATGACCCTTTGGCTTAAAACAGCATTCAAAAACTAAGATCATGGCATCTGGTCCCATCACTTCATGGCAAATCGATGGGGAAACAATGGAAACTGACAGACTATTTTTGGGGGCTCCAAAATCACTGCAGATGGTGACTGCAGTCAAGAAATTAAAAAGACACTTGCTTCTTGGAAGAAAAGCTATGACCAACCTAGACAGCATATTAAAAAGCAAAGACATTACTTTGCCAACAAAGGTCCATCTAGTCAAAGTTGTGGTTTTTCCAGTAGTCATGTATGGATGTGAGACTTGGACCATAAAGAAAGCTGACAGCTGAAAAATTGATGCTTTTGAATGGTGTTGGAGAAGACTCTTGAGAGTCCCTTGGACTGCAAGGAGATCCAACCAGTCCATCCTAAAGGAGATCAGTCCTGGGTGTTCATTGGAAGGACTGATGCTGAAGCTGAAACTCCAATACTTTGGCCACCTGATGTGAAGAACTGACTCCTTGGAAAAGACCCTGATGCTGGGAAAGATTGAAAGCGGGAGAAGGGGACGACAGAGGATGAGACGGTTGGGTGGCATCACCGACTCTATGGACATGAGTTTGAGTAAACTCCAGGAATTGGTGATGGACAGGGAGGCCTGGTGTGCTGCAGTCCATGGGGTTGCAAAGAGTCGGACATGACTAAGTGACTGAATTGAACTGGAACATTAAGCAAGGAACCCTAACTCTAAAGCTAGGCTCTGCCAGATCATCTAAGGCCATGTGCACCAGGCCACAGAGGTAAGACATCACTCTGACAGCCAATACCACCCCCACATACTTCCTTCTGCTCACCTTACAAGGCCCAGCTCAAATTTCTTCCGGAAATTCTTCCCGAACACGCTCAAAGTCATTGCCCTCTCTTCTTTGAGAACTCAAGACTTGAGTTCTTGGACAACTTGTGTGCGTCTCAACTTCTCCATCCATATAATATATGACTAGCATCACCTACCTCAAAGGCGTCTTAGGAGGGAACGGGTGAGGTACTATTTATACAGTGTTAGGCAGCAGTCTTCTGTACTCTGAAGGTACCTACACACAGTTTACGGTTACCTCCATTTCTTAGGACACACGGCACCTCTCCCTTTAGTTAAAAAGACATCTTGGCTTCCGCTTTCTCTGGAGACTTCCAGGAACAGGATAACTCACATGTTTTTTTCCCCTCCAAGCTTGCAGGCCCCCTTCCAAAGCAAAGAGGACTGACCACCTCTCTTTCTCACCGATACAGCCTCCCCACATCCAAACCTCCAGACTCGGGGTTCCCGAAAGATCCAAGAGCAATCTGAGACAAGATGAGTCGGCAGACAGGGGAGGAAGCTATTGACTGGCCGGAACACGAGCGGCGCCGAGGAGAGTGAGCAGCAAAGACCCAGAGAAGGGCCGGTGGGCCCGAGGCCTGGCCTCTGAGGGCTCCGGGGTTCCCGGTCTGGGGTGACCCCAAAACCTGGGAGCGGCCTAGGAGGAGCCGCGCCAGCCGCAGCCCTGACTCCCGGGTCGCCGCCCCCAGACGAGGCTGTTGGCGCGGCTCCCCCGCTTCCTGTCAGCCCGGCCAGCTGGACGGCACTCGCTGTGACGGCCGGCCCTCCCTCCGGCGGCGGCTCACCGAGCCAGAGGCGAGGAGCGGGCGCCATCTTTTCTAGCACCTCTTGTAAACAATCAAGAGCACTGGTGTGTTTTTTTTTTTTTACTTAGTCTGAGTGAGCATAAAAGTTTCTTTTTTTTTTTCCTTCCAACTTTAACGATATGAAGTCTACATTCTTCAAGTGTGAAAGTGAAAGTGTTCGTCGCTCAGTCGTGTCCGACTCTCTGCGACCCCATGGACTATAGCCCGCCAGGCTCCTCCGTCCATGGAATTCTTCAGGCAAGAGTACTGGAGTGGGTAGCCATTCCCAAAGAATGCCTTTTTTTTTTCCCCCCATTAGAGGATAATTGCTTTACAAAATTGTGATGGTTTTTGCCACACATCAACATGCACGAGCATCAGGGACGCGTATGTCCCCTCCTCCCCCCTGCGCACCCCAGCCCTCGAGGTTGCCACAGAGCACTGGCTTTGGGGTCCCCCGGAGCCAGCTCCCACGGGCCACCTATAAAGGGACAAGTCCCCGCTGAGCTCTTCTTCCTTTTCATGCAGCCTAGCAAAGCTGTTTCTCCTCCCTTGGGAACTCAGAACCAGGAGGGAGAGAGCGCCCCTGAGAAAGCTGCTTGCAGGAACCGGGGTCTGGGCTCCCCCTGGGACACTCGGTTGTTTGTTAGGAATAATAATCCCCCACCCCAGCTTTAGGGAGCAGTTGCCAAGGCTCCTCAGGGAAAACGGGGATCCCGTCTTTCTTCTGATTGTGATCCAATGTCATGCCATGTTACCTCATGGAGAAGCCCTGAAGGGACCCACAAGCCAGTGGGTCAGCTTTCACCAAGCCACTTGTGACTCACCCAGAGGTCACCCACTTTAGTAACTGAACCATCTGGTAATCGTCCCTGGGAGCTTAAAAAGCAATATTCCCTCTCATTTCGGCCATTAACCTTTCTCTCTCCTACCTACCACCTTTCTCAGAAGTCCTTTCCAGGCGGGCAGCCCCCGCGTTGAGTTCATCTGCCAACCCAGGCCAGGCCGGCTGGCTGCAAGGCTCCAATCACTCCTTGGCCCCTCTCCCCACGACCTGGGGATGTCAACAGGGATGACACCCACTTTCCAAAGTTGCAGATTAAACTAGTACTGTATCCCCCCCAACTCCGAGTTCTTTCTTAGTTTTGAGTGAGACAGCCATGCAGATCCGCCCTCCCTGGACAGAAGGAGGAATACAAACATCCCGGGCCCTTTGGGAGAGCTTGTCCACGTCTGCGAACCCAGAAGCGCCCTCCCCCGAGGTCGGCAAGGAGGGCCTGCAGCGAACATGTACCTTGGAAATAAGTTCATCGTGATTGGCCAAGTGGGCTCTGCAGTGAATGCAGCTGTAGGTCCGGTGGCAAGAAGGCAGATAAGCCTGGAAAGTCTTGGATCTGGTCATCTTCACCATTGGCGCTGCTGAGCGGGGGGTGAACTCTGGGGTGGCCCACGAGGCACTCCCACAGGACGGGTCGCACGGGAAACACCGAAAGACGCAGGTAAAGGCCGTGGTTTGGCAGGGGGTGGGTGTGCGGCAGGCTCCACACACTGGTGATGTCTTCAGAGGAAGGACCCTCAAGCAGAGGTCTCGGGCTGGTTCTCAGCAGCCTGCAGGGCCAAGATAAGCGAATATCATTAGCTAGATGGAGCTGGGCTTCCTGTAAAGCCAGCAGAGTCCAACTGCCACCCGAGAGAGGGCAGCATTTACAGCACAAAAAGATCCCCCTTCTGCATTCCTGCGCTGTGCCAAGATGCCCAGCGACTAAGAAAGAAACCGGTGGAGATCCCACGGTTGCTGCAGTTCTAGAGCTGGAGATTCAGAGTCGACTCGGGGCTCTCAGGAGTTATTCTACCAACGTCCAGCAAACTGGCATGATCAGCACCCCCAGAAGTTTCCTAGACATGGTGGTTGTTTAGTCACTAAATTGTGTCTGACTCTTTTGCAACTCCATGGACTGTAGCCCACCAGGATCCTCTGTCCATGGGATTTCCCAGGGAAGAACACCAGAGTGGGTTGTCATTTCCTTTCTCCAGGGGATCTTCCCGACTCAGGGATCAAACTTGCATTTCCTGCATGGCAGGCAAATTTTTTGCTGCTGAGCTACGAGGGAAACTCACAGCTACAGAAAAGGCCAGGCTTAAAGATATGCCACCTACAGCACAGGGAGAGGACCCTTGGGGGTCCCATTCTCCTGATCCAGCCAAGATGAATGACTTTCCTACAGTCAACAATTCACAGATAGATGTGTATTCATCTCCAAATGCCAGGAGTCCTCCAGCAGTTGAAGTCACCATCTGAAGAGGCAACAAACCCCACGGTCCCTTGTGCGTATAAACAAAACACAGGATACAAAGGATCAAGTTCCCAACCAAGAGGATCCCTCATGGCCAGGCAGTCCTTTTGAGAAATGATTCTCTTTGTAATACCTTGTCCAGAAGGAGATGCTCAGCGCATTTGTTTTTAAGCAAGTAAAAAGAAGGCAACTAATGGCAGAATCAGACTCCTGCATCTCAAATTCACAATAACAGTGAATCTGACCAGAATTTCTCTTCAACACTCAAACTTTCCATTACTCACCCCACAGTAGCAAGTATTTCTCCTACCACAGCCTCAGCTTTGTGATTCCCATGAAGAACAAGGACACGAAGAGGGGTGGCTCCCGGGGTATGTCCAGTTAAAGGTCTGAGGGCAAAACCCCAAGGGCTGAGACCCATTATGCTTCTCTATGGCTCACATACCTGAGGCTTCTGGATCTACCTATTCCCTGGGCTTCACTCTTCACTAACGGGGGTGGTGTTCCCACTTGCCTACCTCCCAGGAGAGCCAGAGTGTTAATTAACGGCTGCGTCATGCTTTGAAGATAAAATTATTTAGAGAGACGGGGGAGGAAGACAAACAAAATCAGATCTTCCTTGCTGCATTATGCCTGGGATCCATCTGGATGTTCGGACAAAGCCCGCCAATCACAGTCTTTTCACTCTAGATCTCCACTGGAACCAAATCTTCAGCACAAAAGCTGCCCTCCTGCCTGGCATCCTTCCCACTGCTGCGCCACTGAAGGCCACTGTGCCCCTGGGGCACTCTATAGCTTCCCGAGTGGCTAACACCCCTGGCCAGCACTAGGCTCAAGGACAGCAGTGGTCATCATCTCTCACCCCGCATGTCCCTTGAGAGCTGAGCCAAAGAAGCTCCACATCCAGAGTGACCAACTGGTCACCTGAAATGTCCGACTGCCAAAGGGCTTCAGACCTAGAGGGGCCCAGGCACAGTGTCTTGGCTGCTAGAGTCTCCACCGCTAATTTTAAAGAGGAGTAATCGGGGACCTCCCTGGCGGGCCAGTGGAGGAGACTTCGCGCTCCCAATGCAGGGCGCCTACGTTCAATCCCTGGTCAGGGAACTAGGTCCTACATGCCACAACTAAAAAGAACCCATGTGCTAAGACCCGGCACAGCCAAATAAATTTTTTTTTTTTTAAAGAGTAATCAGATTAAACTGAGCAAAATAGAAATACTTGAAGAATATGGGAACGGCAGGGTTAAGAGAGGCTTCCCAGGTGGCTTCAGTGGTTAAAAAAAAAAAAAAGAAAGAAAACCTGCCTGCCAACACAGGAGATGTAAGAGATGAAGGTTTGATTCCAGCATCAGGAAGATCCCCTGGAGGAGGGTACGGCAACCCACTCCAGTATTCTTGCCTGGAGAACCCCATGGACCGAGGAGCCTGGCGGGCTATAGTCCATGGGGTCGCAAAGAGTCAGACACGACTGAAGTGACTCAGCACACGTGCATGGATAGGGGTCAGAATTCACCTGCTCAGCTTTGCCTCGGCGTGAGGCCTGGCCACAACAGGAGACAGGAGACACAACAGGGGACAACACAACCCCTTGGATCAGAGCCCCCACATCTCACCCTAAGTTTACTCTGCAAACGCTAAGGTGAGTGGTCCAAAGCAAAGCCCACGGTAGACCAAGGCTGTTGGGTATTGAAGTGTTGCAGGTGGTAGAAAGAGCCAAGGACCCTGCTTGGGGTTTCCTGAAAGATCCTAGAACTCTGCAAATACTCCTGTGCTAGTCTCAGGAATGGCAGCATTTCCAGGAAAGGAAGTGGTGAAAGGTCAGGGGGCAGGAACAGGAAAGACAGGGCAGGGGAAGCGGGTGGGAGGCCTGCCCCAAGCCAGGCTCTCCTGAAGGCCAGGGCCCCCGCTGCCTGGAGGAGAGCAGGAGAAGCACTGCTTCTGGCCTGTCCGCCTTTTATCCAAACTTGCGGGAAGGTGAGAAAACAATGAGCCCTGGCTGCCAGTCTGGGTTTACAGAGCAGCCCCAGAGTCTGTTTTCTTACACACGCAGACGGCTGCTAAATTATGCATTTCCCCAGAGTAGAATTATTTCTTTTTTCACTTCTCTGCTGTAGGAAAGCCCCCAAAAAAGTTCACAGGCAGGGATTTCTGGTTATGCTCAGCTTCAAATGTGAATCTCAAAACTTACACAAACCTTTGGAGAAATCGGCATTCATAGTCTGCGTTAAACATGCATGTGTCACACACGAACACATTCATCCAGCTCAGAACTTAAGAAGAGAAAAATGGACCGTGAAAGCAACATAGCAGGCTGCCTGGTGCTAGAAAAGCCCGGAACAGCCTTGGACTTTGCTCTTCAGACACTCTGCTCCTTGCAAAGTCTCCACCCGTTCCTAGGAATTGACAGGAACCCACAAAAGGTGACTCCTTCCCCAAGATGGAAAGAAAGCAAGTGGCTTGCTGAAATATGAATCTTGTTCAACTGCTGTGGGGCAGACGAGAAGGAATAAGAGGGGGAGAGTGGAAAGCAAGGTGAAGGAGGATCAAGAGAGGGGTCCTTGAGCCTGAGAAGAAAGAATGGGCTGAATCAGAGAAAAAGTGAAGAGCTGGAGACTGAAAACTAATCACCAATTACTGTCTCCTCCCCTCTTAAGGCCAAATATTAAAAGCTGCTTCTTTAAAAAGCAGTCAGTTTTTCAAAAGGAAGTAAAAAGAAGTCAGTTGTTAGGAAGGAAGATGAAATAGCTTTATTTTTGTTTTTCTAAGGAAGAAGTTAAGGCTACGGGGCTGCAGAACTCACCGCATTTTAATCTCTGGACTCCAGTACCTGCTAATGGGGCCACAGGCTCTATGGGGCTTCCTGAGTCCACCTTGCTGAACACACTGTGGAGTTTAAATTGATTTCCAACAATAATCAAATGAGCTTGATATTTAAAAGCCTCAGGGCACGTGTACAAATTAAACACCATTTTAAGCGAAGTAATAATCCATCACAGTGGAAATTAAAGGGAGATTTGCTACCGCCTCCAGCTGGCCCCTGCTGGTCGGCGGGGAAAGAAAAGATGTGAACTATTATGATTAAAAACAAAGACCTCAGATACGCCATGCTGAGAGCCAAACTCACAGGGAGTGCACAGCGAACCTAGACATCCCACCTCACGGACTGGGCTTTTCCACCAGAAGCCACGACTACAGGTGGAACTCAAAACAGAACCTTCTGCGTGTCCCTCGGATGGAGGGGAGGGAGGTACCGAGCCCTCAGATTAAGTCATGAAGGCACTGGATAAGTGACAGCGAGCAAAGTTGCATCCGATCTCACAGAGCCCCAGAAACGGGGAGGGCGCAACTCGCCGAGGGAAGTGACCCCCGCCAGCCACAGGCCAGGACCACCCCGAGGTGTGCCTCCTTGCTGTTTTGGGGTGTTGTTCTGGAGGAGGGCGGGCAAAGACTGCCTGGAAAAGAAGTGGGCTCTGTGGAGTCAGAAACCGGTGGTAGGGGACTGCCCTGGTGGTCCAGTGGTTAAGACTCCACGCTTCCAATGAAGTGGGTGTGGGTTCGATCCCTGGTCGGGGAACTAAGATCCCACGGGCTGGCCAAAAAAAAAATAAATTTAATAAAATAAAAATAAAATCATGAAAATGGTAAACTAAAAAGAGAGACTGGTTCTGCTCCACTGTAGCTGAGTGGCTTTGGCAAATTATTCAACTCCTCTTACCCCCCGCCCCCCAGTTCTAATAAAACCGACATACTCAGGGTGAGGAGGATCAAATGAGAGGATATAAGTACACGCACAGTACCGGCACACAAAACACCAAAATTGTAGCAACCGCTATTTTTAGTGGTCGATGAATTTAAAAAAAAAAAAAAAAAAAAGAAAGATGCTGCTGCTTCAAAAAAAAAAAAAAAAAGAAGAAAAAGGAGGCCAGAGAGTTCAGAGACAGACATGGTTTTCCTGCTGCTTCATTAGGATTGTCTAGCTTGTTTTCAAGCAAGGTAGATGGTACCATTGGGATCACTGGGATGACATTTCCCTAACACAGAATTCTCCTCTCAAGGTGGTGAGTGCACTGGAGGAAGCGCAGCAGTGTTCCTTCCCCGGAGGGGCGGTTTCCCGCATG